AAACCCGCCATTGGTTGGTTCACTCTCGGTAACTGGGCAGACGTTTGCCGGGCATTTGCTATGTGCTCAGCATCACAGGAGACTCAGAAATAACCTCCAGTCACGGAGCTTTGCACACGTGGGCCTTGCACGCGGGGACTTTGCACACGGGGACTTTGCACACATGGGCCTTGCACACGGGGACTTTGCACACATGGGCCTTGCACACGGGGACTTTGCACACATGGGCCTTGCACACGGGGACTTTGCACACATGGGCCTTGCACACGGGGACTTTGCACACATGGGCCTTGCACACGGGGACTTTGCACACATGGGCCTTGCACACGGGGACTTTGCACACATGGGCCTTGCACACGGGGACTTTGCACACATGGGCCTTGCACACAGAGGCTTTGCACACGTGGGCCTTGCACACGGAGCCTTGCACACGAGGGCCTTGCACGCGGGGACTTTGCACACGGAGGCCTTGCATACAGAGGCTTTGCACACGTGGGCCTTGCACACGGAGCCTTGCACACGTGGGCCTTGCACACGAAGGCCTGTAAGCTTTCTTTGATTGCAGTGAAGGTTCGTTTTAGTTTTTTCTTTCAACCACTGTGCCAACCCCAACCTTCCTAACCCGGAGCCACTCGGCCGACCAGGGTGCGGGCGGCCAGGGCAGCATCCACAGCAGGTCCCCAGGGCCGGTTGGTCTCAGGTTCTGCCAGGCGTCGTCTGATGGGAGTGTCCTCAGATGGGTCCCGATCCCTCCCAGACCAGCTGTGTGTGTGTGTGTGTGTGTGTGTGTTTAATTTAATTAACTTATTTAAAATGTGTTTTCATTGATGTCAGAAAGGAGGGGAGAGGGAGAGAGAGAGAGAAACATCCATGATGAGAGAGAATCATGGACCGGCTGCCTCCTGCACGCCCCACACTGGGGATGGAGCCCACAACCCGGGCCTGTGCCCTGACCGGGAATCGAACCCTGACCTCCTGGTTCCTAGGTCAACGCTCATCCCCTGAGCCACGCCGGCCGGGCTCTGTGTATTTCAGACCATGGGCTGCTATTTAAATCTGAGACGCCTGGAAGAGGCTGTAGACACCCACTCCCACCACCCTCCACCCTCCATTTCCTGTGCCCGAGCCTCCCACCGCCTGGGCTGCTCCCTGTGGCTCACGCCTTTGCCCAGCCGCCACGGAGCTGCTGGTGGCACCGGGAGAGCCGTTTCCCAGCCCCAGC